TCTCTTTGTAAGATCTGGTATTAAAATACATATCCTAAAAATCAAGTGTTTTTATGAACTTTTTAAAATCAAAATAGATTTTGAGGACAAAAGTTAAAATGATGGGTGGGCCTGCTAGCCCCTTTCTTTTACCCTGGGTGTTAAAAACTTTTAATAAATTAAAAATAGGCTGGTGAAAAGGGTTAAAAAACCAGAAAATTTGTAAGAAGTTGTCAAATTTTTATTTTTGCTTCCAAGAAAAATCAGCAAGAATTAAGAGACTTAACAGTTATACTAGGATATACTAGAGACACTTGCATCTCAGGCGTATCCTTCTACAAGCGGTGGACCTGATTCTTCAACAGCTCAACCACCTGCTCTGGCCTAGGTATCACAGAATCTAGCATCAAGTAGAATTCAACACCACCACCCTCTTCTATCTACCATTCTACCATAAACCAGAGAACCTTTCCCGATTTTAATATGCAGATTAGAAGCTCCGCTACTGTATGTATTGTTTGCCCTCGGGATCCCACCTTAATGTTTCCCCGGAAGGAGAATTGGGAGCCAGCATGTGTATTATTTTTTACATTTTCCTTTGTAGGTAGTATGCAAAAAATTGTTGAAGTTGATGCTGTATCCCCATCAGGGATAAGTGATCTGTTAGTTATTTTTGTAGCATGAAGTCCAAATGTTCTGACTCTGAAGTATGTGTAGTTAGTGTATCACAATGGGTCTCAAACTTTTTTACTGGCGACCCCTTTCACATCACAAGCCTCTGAGTGCGACCCCCCCTAATAAGTTAAACACACTGTTTAATATATTTATCACCATTATAAATGCTGGAGGCAAGCAGAGTTTGGGGTGGAGCTTGACAGCTCGCGACCCCCCCATGTAATGACCTTGCGACTCCTTGAGGGGTCCCGACCCCCAGTTTGAGAACCCCTGATGTATCAGCATTACTGGCTTAGTTTTTCAGATTTAGCACTTGTGGAAACTGACATTGATTGTGTCGAATGTAAGGAATTGGACTTAAAGCATGATGTGGATAATTATTTTAATATTTGAACTGTGATATAAACATATTGACACATACACTTGGTTCATTTTCACCTTGAGCTACCTTTTTTGGCTTGGATAATGTGTCTTTGATCAGCTATGTCTGTAATAGGGTTACCATATTTAAAAAAAGAGGACACTCCACGGAGCCCTGCCCTGCCCCTTTCCCACTCCCGGCCCCGCCCCAACTCCGCCCCTTCCCCAAAGTCCCCGTCCTAACTCTCCCTCCTCCCTCCCAGCCACGCGAAAAGGGCTGCCCTAGCGCTACCAGCTTCACGGTTTGCCAGGCAGCCTCCAGACCCTGCGCCCCCGGCCGGCGCTTCCTCAGCGCAGCTGGAGCCCGGGAGGGGAAGCGCCCAGCCGGTGGCGCAGGGTCTGGAGGTTGCCCAGCAAACCGTGAAGCCGGTAGCGCTCGGGCTTCGGGCAGGCCCCGGAGCCTGGGAGGGGAAGTGCCCGGCCGGGGGCGCAGGGTCCAGAGGCATGGGGGCTGCCCGAAGCCGGTAGCGCTCGGGCAGCTCGGCGCTTAAACAGAGCCGAAGAGTCAGGGGAGGAGCACAGCCGCGGAAGTGCCCGGCCGGCGGTATTTTTCCCGGACATGTTCGGCTTTTTGGCAGTTCCCACGGGACGGGGGTTTGATTACCAAAAAGCCGGACATGTCCGGGGAAAAACCGGACGTATGGTAACCCTAGTCTGTAACAAACTGAAATGAATAGTACTAAGACAAATTCATTTTACAGGCCTTTGCTTGCTTGCTCCTGGGCAAGTGCTGACTTGGCAGCAATATTTGCTCTTGAACTCCCCAGAGAAAGACAGTGATACCATCTTAAGTTAAAATCTTGAATCTTTATGCAAAGAAAAAAGAAAGAACTTGTTGCTGGCTTGCAATGAACTGGGGGTGGCGCTGTTGGCCCTTTAGCTTCCAAAGAGTTTTAATGCAGACACAAGTCTCTTTCAAGAGCTGCTGCTGTCGATCCCTCTCATCACATGCATGGTACTCCTGCACTGTGAGTTCCAAGCCTTCTAGAAAAGCAATAACCATTTGGGCTTGCATAAGGGACCTGTGGAAATCCTAAATGTTTAGAACAAGGCTATAAAAATAGATTTTGAATCCAGCTGCCCTTCTTTCTCCTTTGCCAGGGTCAGTTGTGGGTATCACTTCTTTCTTTTGCTTTCACGGGTATTTGAGTTAGTGAACCTTCTTCGTTTCTTTTTATAACTTTTCATTTTTCTCTAAATAGTTTAAGCTTAGTAAAATTTTGAGATAATTTCCCATTGTTTGGGCTTTAGCGATTAGAATTCTGCAAGATTGTGAAGCAGTGTTGCTGCATTAGGATGACTCCATGCCATTAAAGATTTTGTATTGCTTTTATTCATCTTTCAGTCTGGTCAGTTTCATTGTGTGATATGTGGGCCCAGTAGTTAAGCATTGGTCTTTCCTGGGTCTTTTAAACAGGCCTATTTGAAGAGTTGTATGTTGTCTGATTCTAAAATATCCATGATGCATCAGCATGCCACATACTGCCTCTTGTATCTCTGGATTCCTCACACTGAGGTAGTGTTTTCTATATATAGGGTTCATTTCTTGGACTTGTAAGAAAAGAGAGCATTGTTTAAGTCTCTCCTCCTCCCCCCCGACCCCTCAGCAGGCACTTAACCATCAGGTTAGGCTTTGTCAGTCCTGATTCTTGCATCTGAAGCCATTTTAGGATCCTAGTTCCTCACTCCTGTGTTCATGCAGACGTCATAATTTTCTAGCTGCCATAATGTTTAATTCAAAATCTTTAAGATATCCAAGATATTTTGTTTTTTTGCTTTAAAAAATTGTCAGCTTTGATCATTCGAAATATTTGCTTCAATTTTTTGCCGGTGTCAGAGTGCATTTGTCAGGCATTTCAGCAAACATACAAGAGGAGTTTGAAAAGAGAACCTGCCTGATCTTGAATGTTTTTCTGGTATAAAACCAGTAAGAAGAGTGAGCAAGTTATGGGTTTCAGTTAATTATTTTCCTTTAGAGTATCCCTTGAGATGAAATTCTCAATCATGATTTTATCAAAAAGTTACTGTCTTTCAGACTATATAGACCTGTTGTTCTTCCCAAAACCTTGTATGTTGTCTGTCCTGATCAGTACGAAGTTGGCATGTTAGGATGAAACCCTTCTGTTAATTCCACAAGTTATTCATAGATTTTGGTGACAAGTCAAAAAGAGGGAGGAAAGGGAACTGTGAGAACAAATGCTTTCAATATGGATTAGATTTTGTGTTCACTCACATTCTAGTTTAAAGACTCAGTTCATTCCACAAAATTGGACAATTTATGACAATTAACATGTTTCACAGAAATTTGTGAAGCCAGTTTGTGTATGTGTATACATTTGTGCGTCATGACACCCTATTTGGTATTTCATTGCAGTGATTGTTTTGGGTGAGTTAGGCAGTTCTCTTTTAATCATCTGGCTTCCTCCAGGGGTTGAGCGCTAATCTCCCAGATTGGGAATCTACAAAAGTAATTCCGAACAGAGAGAGACTGTTTTCCAGTAACCACTGTTCAAATCTTGATACCTCTGCTCATCCACCCTCTCCGTCCTCTTTCCCCTCTTCTTTGAGACCTTCTGTAGATTCTTTGAATTAGTGAAAGAAACTGAGTAGTTGATGCTGCGGGGCCCTTCTGTTACCTTGGTCTTCTAGAATATTCTGTTCAGTGAGTGGGTGCTCATGCAGCCATGACAGGCACTAGGTGCCACCGGGCTCCTTGTTGTTTTTGTGCATTTCTCAGTGGTTCTGAGTTAGCAGTTCTGTGGGAATGAGTGTTCTGAGTGTGGGTCTGCAGAGGCAATATAAACTCAAGCAGAGTTACTGGTGAGTAGCCTTTTCTCTACTATTCTGTAACAGATATTGAGTGTTTTGACAGGAGTCCCCTTAAGCTTTTAATGTGCTGCATAGCATTGCAAGCTAGAGCCTCCATTTGAAACACTTTATAGTTGTGACTTCTCAGGTTCCCATAGTAGACTAATTATATTGCCTCTTGCTGTATGTAATCTTCAAAAAACTGTGTATGGTGACTGTAAACTTGGCCGTATCTGATCTGGGAAAGGTGGACATGTATCCATGTGAGAGAATCACCGGTTCCTTGGGTGGAAGTAGCCAAGCCGCTGCACACCTCTACTCTTTTCTTCCAGGCTCCTCTCTTCTACCTCTCCTCTCATCCCAAGCATGAATTGCAGAGACAGCTCATTTTGGGAAGACTGTAGTACTTCCATATATGACTTCAGAGGCTGGGACAGGGACATGGTTTGTCACCTCTGTTTTTATTTTTATTTTTATTTTTAAGGGAGAAAAAATAAAAACACTTGGCGGAGAAAACTACTCTAATATTGGTCATCGTTAGGGGGAGGAGACTACTTAGAAGCTTATTTTAGCTATAAATAGGCAGCATAAAGGTGCACTTAATAAAAATCACCAACCTTTAGTCTTAGGTTTGCTTGGTTTGAAAGATGCGTAAAGGTTCAGACTGGTTCCTGCTTCTTTGAGACTGCTTTGCCGCCCTTCTCTAGGCTAGAATATATGTCCCTTAAAAAAATGTAGTTAGCGGAATGTAAACGTATAGCCTGAAAAGCTGGAATTGTAGAGAAGAATGAATAGGTGGGTCCTTGGATAAATAATAGGACATTTTCACTGTCTACTGAAAGGAAACAATTGAAAAACACAGTGAATTTAATATCATACCAGATGTAGTATTTTGTACTTCCTGCATTATGGATTGTGTAACTAAGTATAGTTCCTAGCTGAAGTGTGTACCATACACCCTTATCTTGCGGACGCTAGTTTGATTTTAGTATGCAAGTATGTGTTCTTCTAATTCTCTGTGCGCTAACAAAGTTCTTCTCCACAGCAGGTCTCACAGGAAGTGAATGTTTGCATTGAGTAGATAGGTACTGAACAGCATGTTCTGGTTTTGATTTCAGCAGGAGGGGGAGAATGTTGGCTTTGTGCAGCCAGAGGGCCAGCCCCAACGCCTCCAACAACCTCCAGAACTGAGACAGCAGCCAGTGCGGAAGGTCACATTGACAAAGGGACCACTCCAGCAGCAGCAGCAACAGCAGCAGCAGGCTCAGATACATTCAGCAGTTCCACAAGGAGTCAAAAACATCCAAGGGATTCATCCAGCTAAAAAGGTGATTTTTATATGCATTGTTGCTGCTAGGATCTGTATTATCTGCTGAATGTGTTGCCATATTAATGTTAGCATTATTTAAGAAATAACCAGAATCCTTACCAGCACTGAAGAAATTTAAACTGTATCTGCCCAGGTAAAGTTATTAATGGAAGGCTGGATGACTCAGGAAATTGATAAGGGGATATAAAGCTTTTAACCTACAGGATACGTGTTTGAATCCAGCCCAGGTTGGTAATGCCTGAAAGTTGTTCCGATCTCATTGTGGTTCTGGGGCCTGTGTAAATTCTGTTAGGTGATATCAGTCCAGTATTCCAGTGGAGGAATATCCACTACTCGAAAATCATTATCACAACTGACAGTGCTTTTTGGCATTATGAGTAGAGCTGTCAAAGATTGAATGAATACTCTCTCCTTCTAGAAGCGTTCCCAAATTAGGCTACTTAGGACTTGTCTACACTACTGCGTGGGGTCGATCTAAGATATGCAACTTCAGCTACATGAATAGCGTAGCTGACGTCGACATGCTTAGATCTACTTACCAGTGTCTTCTGCGGTAAGTCGACAGTTGACGCTCTCCTGTCGACTCCGCTTGCGCCCCTCGTTCTGGTGGAGTACCAAAGTCGATGGGAGAGTGCTCAGCGGTCGCTTTATCGCAAAATTGACCCCCGCTGGATTAATCGCTGCCCGCCGATCCGGCGGGTAGTTTAGACAAACCTTTATTCTATGTATATGTCTGGTGGACAAAGGATTAGCACTGTCAGGATGGTATTTTCCACTAGGATTATAGATAAAAATTAAGTATTTATAACTGTTTTCTCTATTTAAAATTATTAAGCATGTTGTTGTTTGTTTTAATATGGAGATATACCTATCTCATAGAACTGGAAGGGACCTTGAAAGGTCATCAAGTCCAGTCCCCTGCCTTCACAGCAGAACCAAGTACCATCCCTGACAGAATTTTTTTCCCCCAGATCCCTAGATGGCCCCCTCGATGATTGATCTCACAACCTTGGGTTTAGCAGGCCAATGTTCAAACCACTGAGCTATCTTACTGCCTGGGTAAAACTAAGTAGGGTAAACCTCTATTTGTAAAAGTCCTACTCAAAACCTACTTAAATCCTGGAACACTAATAAAGTATGAGATAGTGGCTGTAATTTTTCCGAAGTACCTCTGGCATCTTATTGCTTTCTGGTTCATGTGTTAGACTATATTAGGTGGTACTGCTATACCATATAACCCTTTGTCAAAACATTCTCCCTTCAGCACAGAATAAATATTTGGACCTCCACTAACATAAACATTTGTAAATGGAGAATACTGGGACAAGGAACCTTTATGGGGCGGTCAGTAAAATAGTACTTTTGTGAGGTATAGATTTCTTGGTGGACAAGGCAGCCTCCTTATTTTTCTTTAATGCTATGACTTTTCTATTTTGGACTCAAACAAGGAACATCCCTCTAGTACTGAATATTCTATAGTTGATTCAGGTTTGTGTAATTTTTGGGGGGTTGAGGGAGGGCTTAAAAAAGTCAGCTATTGGTACACTTCTGTTATACCTCTTGTATAACAATGGCAGTGTGGAGTAGGCCATTAAAATTGACCTCCAAAGCAAACACAAAAATTCGGTTCAGCACACATTTGCTGAATTCCCCACTAACAAGGCTCTCAGAGGCACTCAGCACATAAATAAGTTTTAACCATTTTTAAATTAATCCCTATTTGTGTGATCTCCTTGGTACTGTCATCTTTACTGAAGAAATCCCATAAGTCAATGGTTCTCAAATTGTGGGTCGGGACCCCAAAGTGGGTCGCCACCCTGTTTTAATGGGGTCACCAGGGCTGGCATTAGACTTGCTGGGGCCCGGGCCTGAAGCCAAAGTCTGAGCCCCACTGCCCAGGGCTGAAGCCCAAGCCCAAGGATTCAGCCTGGGCAGTGAGACTCAGACTTGGGCTTCAGCTCTGGGCAGCTGGGCTCAGAATACAGCCCCCCACCCGGGGCTGAAGCCCTCAAGATTCAGATTCAGCCCCCACCCCATGATGGTGGGGCTCGGACTTCAGCTTTGCCGCCCTCCCATACCCCCGCTCGGGGTGGCAGGGCTCAGGCTTTGGCTTTGCCGCCCCACCTGGGGTGGTGAGGTTCAGGCCTCATTCCCCCTTCCCAAGGTCATGTATTAATTTTTGTTGTCAGAAGGGGGTCACGGTGCAATGAAGTTTGAGAAACACTGCCATAATACATGAGTCACAGGTGTAGTAATAATAATAATAATAATACACGATATCACAGGTACCAGAAATTTCTATGCAGTCTATGGTATTTGTAAGATCACTGACTGATGCATTCTCTGTTGTGAAGCTGAAATTGCCAAGAGAATTTGAGGGAAAATATATTTTATTTTTTAAATTAGTTGAATTACTTCTGTGCTTGTCCCCTACCTTCTGGAGAATGATGACATTCACCACATGAAACTAAGTTAAAGCAAAACAAATGTGTACTTGCAGTTCACCTAAGTTGAGCCAAACATTGCACTGCCTACTGTTCTGGAGCCTTCTGCCTTTGCTTCAGGGCATTTCCTGTTCTTTAGGGAGAATTATATTGAATATCCTTGAGTTCTTGTGAATTTCAGAAGGAGCAACACTTGGAAGACATTTCTCCTGAGAATAGGAATTTTTTCATAGAATCAGAACTGGAAGGGACCTCGAGAGGTCATCTAGTCCAGTCCCCTGCACTCAAGGCAGGACTATGTATTATCTAGACCATCCCTGACAGGTGTTTGTCCAACCTGTTCTTAAAAATCCCCAATGATGAAGATTCCACAACCTCCCTAGGCAATTTATTCCAGTGCTTAACCACTCTGACAATTAGGAAGTTTTTCCTAATGTCCAACCTAAACTGCCCTTAGTGCAATTTAAGCCCATTGCTTTTTGTCCTATCTTCAGAGGTTAAGAACAAAAATTTTTCTTCCTCTTCCTTGTAACAACCTTTTATGTTCTTGAAAACTGTTATGTCCCCTCTCAGTCTTCTCTTCTCCAGTCTAAACAAACCCAATTTTTTCAATCTTCCCTCATAGGTCATGTTTTCTAGACCTTTAATCATTTTTGTTGCTCTTCTCTGGACTTTCTCCAATTTGTCCACATCTTTCCTGAAATGTGGCGCCCAGAACTGGACACAATACTCCAGTTAAGGCCTAATGAGTGTGGAGTAGAGCGGAAGAATTACTTCTCGTGTCTTGCTTACAATACTCCTGCTAATACATCCCAGAATGATGTTTGCTTTTTTTGCATCAGCGTTAAACTGTTGACTCATACACCTCTACCCCGATATAACGCTGTCTTCTGAAGCCAAAAAATCTTAACGCGTTATAGGTGAAACCGCGTTATATTGAACTTGCTTTGATCCACCAGAGTGCGCAGCCTCGCCCTGCCCCCCACCACCACTCTCCAGAGCGCTACTTTACCGCGTTCTATCCGAATTCATGTTATATCCGGGTAGAGGTGTATTTAGCTTCCTCAAAAGCTCTTAGTCTTCTGATGTTAATTATATTTGCCAGAGACAGCTGAAGAATCAAGCTCAAGAACTGGTGTAATGCTGCTAGACATTACCTTCTGTGCTGTTTCATCTTGTCCTGCCAGCCAGGGTTAATATTAGGATATTTAATTTTAGTAGTTATAAGTATGTTTCTGACAGTGACTCAAGACCACATGAATTGTGCATCAAATTAGACATGAATTCTACAGCAAGAACCTCAGAATAATTCACACTTCCCTGTTCCCTGTAGCTTTCACCCCTTTGTCCGGTCCAGTGTAATCAGAGTTTTTATTCCTTTGATATTCAGTTTTTGTGATTGACAGTATCTACCCCAACCTGACAATAACCCCACTGGATCCCATCACAACATCCGCGCTACATCCAACGATAATGCAAAAAATGTTGTCTTGAAGTTTCTCTTAAAATAGTCAACAGTCAGATAGTTAACGTTTACATTTTAGGAAGGGTCCTCATTAATTTTCCACATTATCTCCCCAGTGAGATGACCTGAACCAGTTCACCTCTCTCATAGCTAATGTTTCAAACTGTCTGCAGAATCAGGCAGATGTTAAGGCTTTGGTTACATCTGGCTTACATTTTGAAAATTGTCTTTGCAATCATAAGAGCTTAGAGACCTATATTTTATTTTATTTTGTTTGTTTACTATAATGGAAGCTTATATTCTGAAACAGAATTCTGCAGCAAATACTAAAAAGACATCTATGCAGCTGCAAAAGTGCATTATGCATGAGGTACTGCATTAAATCTTAGTCAGTGTTACCATCAATACTATAAGATACCTATGAGAGCCAGTTTTTAGGGTCAGGGGCTCTCCAACAACGTGTTGGTTTTGTAAGTGTGTGAAAGCTAGTCTCCTCTTTTCTCTAAAAATTGCTTACTGTTTTCATTATGGAGATTATATTGATAAACCGGTTACTAGAATTAAAAGCTTGATGGTGACTTTCCCTAAGAGTCCTAGGTTGTCTTCCCACCTCATTATCTTCCAAAAAGCTGCTCAGGGCTAGCGTATGAGGCCAGTGAATTCTGGATCCCTGGAAACTTTTGTTTGTGAAGGGGAATTAATTAATGTATGGTTAGATTGGCAGCAGCCTAAGTGAGTCAAGTCCTACAAATCAGGCTGGGGTTTTTCCTCAAGTTCTTTCCAGTTCCTGGCTATAGATTAGCCATACTGATAAGCCAGTGTGGACTTTCCTCAAAAAAAGAGGGGCAGTTCAGGGTAATGGTTAGCATGGTCTATTGAGCAACATTTTTCTGTAGCAGTGGAGACTGGGGTGGGCCTGCGTCCCCTTCCTATATATAGAAATAGAGATAGAGATCTAGAATCTAGTTTGAGGTCTGGGAAGTGGGAGAGGGCAAAAAGTTGTTTAATGACCCATCCCAAAATGTTAGAGCTGATCACATGCATGTGATGCAATCACTGTGAAGAGGAGTAGACTCTATAGTTTTTGGCATGAGATGGTCAATTGCTTTGTAAACCCACCTCAAAATGCAAAGGCAGACTTTGTACCCATTCTAACTTCTTGTAATTTGGGGAGATATTTGGATAAGAAGCAAATAAATATGTTAACATGTGGCCTTTTAAATTAGCAAACAGTGACATGCTGCTTTTTATTGACATGTACTTTAATCAAGTCTTTAAATAAATTAACTTTCATATTATCTGTCAAAGTTACTTAACAGAAGCACTAACTAAGGAAATCAAAATACTGTTACTTTTGTTGTTGGCAGGTCATTATGCATGGGAGAGGCAGAGGAGTAGCAGGCCAGATGGGCCGAGGACGCTTGATGCCAAATAAACAGAACCTGCGAGTGGTGGAGTGCAAACCTCAGCCCTGTGTTGTGTCAGTTGAAGGGCTTTCTTCATCAACTACTGATGTCCAACTGAAAAACCTGCTGATGTCAGTAGGACCCATTCAGGTAGGTCAAGCTCGGTTTATAATTTTTGTGCCAGAAGTCTTTCATTCTAGAAAACTCAGTTAATTCTCTGACACTAAATACATTATTTTTATTGACAATTACTTATATTTGAAGGAGTTTTTTCCCACTTTTTGAATAAAATGCCACAAACATAAGCATATAATGAAGTGTTGTAATCATGTCCAAAGAAAGCGTCTTTAGTTATTTATTATCCTTGTTTTTTATTGTCGGTTTACTAATTCACAACATTCAGTAATTATTGTTAATATAAGTTAGTGAGGCTCTTTTGTGACGTTTAGGTCTGATTCTTTAGAATCACTAATTTTTTAAAGGATACTGTCAAGTGATTTTTTTTTAAACTGGATGATTTTTAAATGATCAGTTTTCAGTAGTATATTCTGATATCATAGCCAGACTTTAAAAAAACCTTTTTTTTTTTTGGAAGGATTTATTCAAATTTTTTACTTCGTGTTATTTAGAAAAGTCTTTTCAGCAGCAGTTTGTGAACAAGCCCAAGAACCATACCAAATATGACCCAGCCTAACTCTTGTGCCTATTTCTGTGCATGCACTTCCTGCTAGTGTATGCGACTTATCAGCTAAATAGTGACGATGACTTTAAGCAAAAGGGGAGATTTTCAAAATGCCTATTGAATTTAGAAGCAGAAGTCCCATTGATTTTCACTGAGGAATAACTCTGAAAATATCCACCAAAGTGCTGTGAAATACACAAAGCAAACTTAAAAAAAAATGGATTCTTTTCCCCTATCTTATCTTTCAGTTTTAGTAATTTCATGTGTTCCTTGTAACTCTAGGAACAGAATTTGCAGACAGAAATACAGTTGTCATATTGATGCTATTTCTTGGCTTTGAAACCTTTTGAGTTAGGTTATACTATATCGTTGTGTATCCTAGAAAACAGATGTCATAAGGAGGTATGCCTCCATCTCAGTTTCCTTCTTTATTAAATGGGACCCTACTGATTTACCTATGTCTGTAGTTCTGAGAGACTTAACTTTGGTTTGTAAAAAGCTTTGATAAGTGCTACTGTATATGATTAATTATAGTGTTTAAAGAAAACATTGTTAGGTTTTTCTGTATTTGCATACTCAGAACATTCACACACAATAATTTGTCACTTCATCTCCTACAGTACTTTGTACAGAAATTATTTTAAGCCATTCATTGTGCCTAAAATCCTGCACTACAAGGAAGTAAAAGTAAGGGTGGCATTTGCACTATTAAATTGGTCTGCTTCATTCAATTTCTAAATGTAGGTGTGAGTCCAGCAATTTCTGTTCTAGGGTGTGATGAAAAATCAGAAAACTCTGTGCTGCATTATCTGATTTGTGCATGCAGAGTTTCCATATAAAGAGTCAGTTTTGAAGCACATTTACTCAATTTTTACTTGCTTACTCCTGTTTGAGAATATTAGTAGGAAATTAGCACAAACCTTGCTGTGGAATTATTCAGAGTAAAGAAAACTTACTGTGAACGTGCTGGAAAACTTGTTCACCGCTTCCTATTTTATATCAAATACCACAATCGCTTGATTCCTAATGCAGTGTCACAGCACAGTCTTGCCGAGAAGGGCTCATCTACAGTATGGAATTTCTTACCATTTTTCAGCAGAATCCGATAATGTGGTACAAGTTTGTATGCCCAGGCTAACCAATTGGTAGAATGGATGCAGCTGCACCATTGCTGAAAAAAGAATATTTTTTAGTATAGCTACACCTTCTAGTAACGATTGAGCGCTGGCATTACATCAGGAATCTAAAGGTTATGGTATTTAATAAGAATTAGGTTAGCAGTTAGTAGCAAAAGCACACCTACATTTGAGTTTACACCATTGCTGGGAAAAACAGGTCAGAATTTTCCAGGTGTAGATATGGTTGAGAGTGGTTAAAAGGCGGGGCGGAAGGGAAGAGGGAGAGGATTGAAAGGATGGGTATTGTACAGAAGCCTGTTGTATAGAATACCTGCTGCTTTTCATCTTCAAAGTACTGTAGTGATATTAACTAATCCCCACAACAACCTGATGAAATATCATCTGTGTTTACTGATGGGGAAACTGAGGCCAGTAAGTTCCTAGGCTGCAAAGAAAGTTTGTGAGAGAGCTGGAATTGAAAAATGTGAGAGTTTAAATTGACATTTTTCATAGTAATGACCCATGTTCACAGGGATGCTCCCTTAATTTTGAAAGAGAGGCTAGAAACCCCAAAGAGAATGAATCTTGGCTAAGTTTTCTTGTGATCTTGACTTAATATTTTTATTAGCATCTGTGCTCAGCACTGTGCAAGACAGAGTTGTGCACAGAGGAATTTGGAATTTAAATAATTTAGAGGGCGAGATGAGCTTGGGAGCACCAGAAGAGGGGGATGTGTGTTTAAACATTTTCTACCTCCTGTTTCCTTGCTTTCTTATTCCTACTCTCTCTTCCTTAAAAATGTGGATAGAAAAGGCATTTGACACATGTTAATGGCTGTGGGTAATACAGACTTGGGCCATTAGGAGGGATCTGAACGAACAGAGGAAGGGGGCTCATTGCACAGAGATTGGAGGTTTAAAAGGCCAGAAGGGCAGTGATGCAGGAGAGGGGCAAAGGGAAGGTGATGCAGTACAAAACAAGGTCCTAGTGGATCAGTATTGTGCAAATCTCTGAAGACCAAGTTGAGAGGTTTAAACCTGATACACTGTGCACGAGTGATTCAGACAGGAGACTGACGTGATCTGAATTAGCAGTTGTTTTGGACAGACTTTGGGAAGATGGTCTGGGTTTCAGGGAGGACGACGTTCCGGTAGTCCAGGCAGGGGGTGGCCAGGCCATGGACAAGTATTTTAGCTGTCAGAGATAAGAAATATCTGATTTTTTTTTCCCTCAACATTGTGGAGGCTTGATAACACATGGATGTGTCAAAGGGGAAAGTGGTGCCAGGGTGACCCTGAGGGGTGAGATCCATAGTGACAGGGAGGCTGGAGTTGTCCTCAGCAACAGAGAAAGGTGGAAGTGGAGAGGATTTGGGGTGGAAAAGAAACTCAGCTCATTTTGGCCATGCCAAGATTTTGCTGGCAACAGACTGCACCAGACAATATACCAGAAAAACATTTGGATACATGGGAGACTGGTCAAGTGTGATAAGCTAGATTTGTGAGCCCTCATCATAGGAATGATAGTTGGAACCATGTGAACAGATGAGATCACCCAGGGATAAAGTATAGAGGAAGAAGAGCGGGGACCAACGACAGAGCCCTGACTCCACTAGAAAGAGGGAAAGGGAGAAGAAACTCCTGAAAGAACTGTTAGGTAGGAAGCAGACTGAGAGGGAGGGAGGGTGAAGAAGGCCAAGAGAGCACAGGTGCTGAAAAGAAGAAAATCACCTGTACTGAAGGCTGCAGGAAAAGCAGGGGTGAGGTGAATGGAGTATTGGTCCCACAGCTCAGCCAAGAAAAGTTGTTAGAAACCTTGGTAACGGTATTTTCAGTGTAGTGAAGCAGGGGCTGTAACAACAGCCTACTCAGATTGCTTAGTTGTGGAGAATAGAGAGGATATTAGGTATTTCTGAAGGCAGTGGGATATGCAAAAGCTTTGACTTTGGGTAGGTCTACACTTACCTCCAGGTCCGGCGGTAAGCGATCGATCTTCTGAGATCGATTTATTGCGTCTTGTCTAGACACGATAAATCGATCCCGGAAGTGCTCGCCGTCGACGCCAGTGCTCCAGCTCGGCGAGAGGAGTACGCGGCATCGACAGGGGAGCCTGCCTGCCGTGTCTGGACCCACGGTAAGTTCGAACTAAGGTACTTCGAATTCAGCTACGTTATTAACGTAGCTGAATTTGCGTACCTTAGTTTGAAATGGGGGGTTAGTGTGGACCAGGCCATAGACTTGCCTGTAGCAAAGTAAACACTTTCCCTAGCAAGTGAGGGACTTTTACCATCAGTTTCTATAGAGCCTGTGATGTTAAGTTTGTTGGGGGCGGGGGGTGTTTCTGGCCCTTACAGTGAGCAACAAAACCTACCAAATCTATGTCAGATGTAAGCCAGTGTTCCCTTCCTCGGTCAGCAGGCCACCCAGATAAGGGGTGTGGACTGCCTGAAGTCCAGGTCCCTTGCCCTAGAGCATTGCCTGAACAGTCCTTCCTCTGGGATAAGGGAAGGAATTCTTCTGACATCCCATGGACTCTACAGGAGCAGAGCCACTCCATGACCACTAGTCCATCCTCAGTGCTGGAATAGTCTCCCGAGTAGTGGGAAGTGACTCGTGTATCCACATAACAGTTGATCCGCTTCCCCTCATTCCCAGTTGCGTAATTGCCCTGCAGCTGGGCTCCTGGCTTCGCAGTGGTGGCAAATAGAATCAGTCTGGGTGGTACCTACTGGATAATTTGTTAGTCGGAATACTGTAGTGTGCTTTTACATTCCAGCGAAGTATTGTCAGATTTGGTTGCTCTCAGATTGTGGAGGAAGCAGAGCAAGTCCACTGCCATGCCTCAGAGACCTGCCATGTGTAAAAGCTTTGACTTTCTTTTACCCTGGGATTGCACATGAATTTTAGTATCAGGATACACCAACAGGCAGCTGGAAAATGAAATTGAAAAATGAATCTAGTTCTCCGCTCCCTCTCAACATTGCCATCTTAGATTTCACATTAGGATAGTTATGCTGTGAATAAGGGCAATAGGTCAGATCTGATAAGCTGGGAACAGTTGAACTCTGAGGTAGGAGGAGGTCAAGAAGGTGTATGCAGTTCGTGGAAAGGGAGAATGCACCATCATTTTTCATCCGGACTCGGGAAGCAGGGGGGGTAATTGTTTTATTCCTTCACATGAATGTTTGAAATGCTTCCTCCATCCTGTCTCATCACTGGACTTCTCACTTTCCCTGTCCCTCTGTAAAGCTGCTCTGTTCTTAGAACAGATGGAAAACCATGACCATGATTCCAGGGATACTGAAAAATGTAATAAGATGCTTTAGGCTCCAGCATAGTTATTGAATCAAG